AGAAATAGACACAGAAATAAACAGGGGGGGTAGGGGGCACGCTGGAGTGATAGTACAGTGGGCAGGATGCCTACCTGGCGCCCACCTTGCACTGGGCCAACCTGGATCCAATTCCCGGCACCCATATGGTTCCCTGAGCATCACCAGGTGTGGGGACCCACACCACCACACAAACACACAAAAAAATTCTCACAACAATCTCTTCCACTCATCCATTTCCCCTTTCCATCTCCACACCCCCCCATTTAGTAAGAGCTCCTGCTCTCTTCTGAGCTATCGACATCAGTTTCAGTTCCCCAGTCTCCAATTCTGACCACTTCCTCTAGTCACCGGGCCAGAGTAACCAACAATATAGCACCAGTGTGGGCCAGAGTCGTGAGCTCAATAGACTGAGTGCAGGTTTGCCTACAGGAGATCTGGGCTGGAGCACTGGCACCACCTGGTCCCCCAAGCGCCATCAAGAATGATCCCTAGCACAAAGTTTAGGGCAACTCCTGAGCACAGCTCTGCGTGACTCCTCCCATTTCCCCCTCTACATGGCTCCCCTCCCACCCTACACCCAAGGCTCACGTCAACCCTGCTCTTCCACAAAACCATTAGTCATCCTTTTCTTCAAACTAACAGGTATTAGAAGGTATGGGAGATTTCGCTGAATATTTGCTGAGTGAACTTTAATTCTGAGATTTCATTCAATAGTTTTCCCCACTAGATTCCAAGGAAGCCAACTTCCAAACTTCAAAGGGAAGCTTAATTAGTATGCCATCGTGGTTACTGAGTTGGTAGGAGATGATGGGGTCATGCAATAATTACTGTAGCACTGTCCTCCCACTGTTCATCAATTTGCTCAAGCGGGCACCAGTAACATCTCCCTTGTGAGACTTGTTGTTACTATTTTTGGCATATCAAATATGCCACGGGGAGCTTGCCAGGCTCTGCCAAGCGGGCGAGATACTCTCGGTAGAGTATTTTGCCGGGCTCTGAAAGGGACGAAGGAATCGAACCCGGGTCAGCCGCATGCAAGGCAAACGCCCTACCCACTGTGCTATTGCTCCAGCCCCAATAATTACTAGAGAGACAAAATAGAATATTGTTTTTTGAAAGGTCTCTAAGTGAATAAGAGATTGTTAAAAACATCAAAGAAATTCTTAACTGGTATAAGCAAAACGCCATACTAAGTATCAGGGACATAAAAAATAGTTTAAGATAGGGGCTGAACACTTCAATCAGATTAATCAATGGCTAAATAAATAGTAAGACTCCTACATTAGAAAAAAAAATTGGGGCTGAAGCGACAGTACAGCAGGTAGGGCAATTGCCTTGCACGCAGTCAACCCAGGTTGATTTCCAGAACCCTATACGGTCCCTCAATCCCTACCAGGAGGGTCCCTGAGCAGAGAGCAGGGAGTAAGCCCTGAGCACCACTGGGTGCGGCTCAAAAACAAAACAACAAAAAAGTTGAAGATAACGGTTCTTGAATTATTTTTATGCTAATGAGGCTGATTTAAAATCAACATTTACTAAAAATGAGGTGTGTAAACTCAAATAGGGGCACAGCACACAGCGGCAGTGGCTCTCTCTCTCCCGCCGCCCGCGTTCACGTTCGGTAGTCTCACCCTTCTTCCCCCACCCCGAGGAGGTTGACGGCGATGGGCAGGCAAAGGAAGGAACGGGGGCCAGACTGGTTGGTCTTAGTCGCATTTATTCCAATCCTCTCTCCATCCACACCAGTCTCTCTTCTCTGCCTCTGCCTCCCTTTTGCCCATTCTACAGTCTCATTGTATCTCTCTCCATGAGGAATTGGGGGGATCCCAAGGGTGTGTCTCTCCTCTCCTTGTCCGACAAGCATATAAGAATATACAATATAAATCATTTTGTATGGATACAGTAAAAAGTATCTTAAACTTATAGAATTGCTCTCCTAGGGCCATCTCGTTCTCAGACTACAGTGCTCAGGCCAGAGAGTCTTTCCCACCCATAGCAGGATCCTAGTCTCGTCGTTACCTTTGGATCATGACAGCATTTGTCTATGATCAAACTCTTATGGTTAAGAATCATGGCACTTTGGCCCGGCCCATTTCGATGCCAGGGTAGCTCACCGCTTGCCCTGGGTCCATTCAGTCCCTCGTCGGGATCCTGCTTTTGGGGTGTTAGGAACTAAGGACAACTGAGGCTCAAGTTGAGAAAGCAGATGCCCGGGAGTGAATAATATTCAAAGCCAATCAAATCCTAAGTTACAGAACATAATGTTAACAGTCTTTCTGTATCCATACAAAAAGGGCATTGCTTTAAAGTAAACTGTTCATAAGGCATAAGGAGAGGAGAAAGGCAGTATTTCACTCATACATATAAAATCATGGATTTCTGAGGAATCTGACCTTACAAATTAACAGTCTGATTAGGGGGGAAAGCTGATTAACTGGGTGGGGAGGAGAGCATAGGGAAGACTATTTACAGATAAACACAATGGAATGGAAGTGCCTCAGGAGCACTGTGATGGGTGTAACCAGATAAACCTAAGCTTCTTGTGGAAGAAGCACAAAGCAATGTCATCCTACATGAGGTACTAGTGAAAATTTGAGATCAGAGAGGATGAAAACAACAGCAATGAAAAACTTGGGTAAAGAAATCATTTAGGGGGCTGGAGCATAGCACAACGGGTAGGTAGGGCGTTTGCCTTGCATGTGACCGACCCAGGTTTGATTCCCAGCATCCCAAATGGTCCCCTGAGCACTGCCAGGAGTAATTCCTGAGTGCATGAGCCAGGAGTACCCTTGTGCATCACCAGGTGTGACCCAAAAAGCCAAAAAAAGAAAAAATCATTTAGGGCTGGAACTATAGTACTGCAGGTAGGGCAGTTGCCTTATATAAGGCCAAGGTTCAATCCCTGACATCCCATATGGTCATCCCCCGCCACCCCCACAGTTCCGCCAGGAGTGATCCCTTGGCATAGAGCCTAGACTAAGCTCTAAGCACTACTGAGTGTGGCCCAAAAAAAAATAATAATTCATTTAGATCATTAAAGTCAGTGCTATCAGATCCACCTTCCTTTCTCACTAAAACACTCTGCAGATGACACTTCTTTAAGTAGCACCTGTTACTTCCAAGCTCTCTGCCCAATCTCAGTTTTAATCTCTGAACATCAAATGTAAGTAAACACAGATGTAGGCAAATTTTCTCCCCAAAATGATGACTCTGGAAGTGGCCTTCCCTAGCAATGCTGAAAGGCCCAGGGTCAATCCTGGCAACGCTGCGCCCTGCCAGCTGTGCACGTCTGAAAGCTCATTCTCTAAAGGGTCGGGACTTGGTGCTGCTCAGCACTAGGGACCACCCCACCCATCTTAGTGGTACTTGGGGGGCCATGTTTATTACCAGGTCCTCATGTCAGAGCCACAGTCCTTTATATTGTCTCGAAGGACACAAAATTATGATCTTTTTTTTTTTACCCCCCTCAGTTGAAATGGCTTAGAGAACACAAGAAAAGCCCAAGACGGCCATCGCGGGGCTGGAGCAATATTACAGTGGGTGGGGCATTTGCCTTGCATGTGGACAACCCAGGTTCAAGCCCCCGCATTCCCATATGGTCCCCTAAGCACCACCAAGAGAGTAATTCCTGATTACCAAGCCAGGAATACCCCTGAGCACTGCCGGGTGTGACTCAAAAAGACCAAAAAAATAAAGTGCAGACACTCCTTTAAAAGAAAAATCAACATTCTCCTATTTTTCCCAGTTCGTGGTACAAAAATAAACTTTAAACTTGACATCTAATGCCACCTATTCAGAGAAAAGAGAGCTTCAATTTAAAAAATCTAGATGGGGCTGGGGAGACAGTACAGTGGGCAAAGTGCTTTGCTTGCTGCCCCGTGTTTGGTCCCTGTCATCCCATACGGTCCCTGACACACCAGCAGGAGTGACTCCTGAGTGCAGAGCTAGAAGTAAGCCCTGAGCATTGCCGGATACGGCCCAAAGACAAACCCCGAAAAGTCTGGATGGGGGCTGAGACAGGAAGGGGTAAAGGGTTCGTTGAACCGGCTGACCCTGGTTCAACCCCAGCAGCACCAATGGTAGCCTAAGCAGAGCCAGAAAGAAGCCCGAAGCACCACTGGGTGTGGCCCCAACTCACCCTACTCCCCTCAAAAGTCGGAAAGCTCCATTTAAGAACAACTACAGGGGCTTGAGTGGATCGCTGGGTATGACCCAAAATGCAAAAACACACTACAGAAAAAGTAACCATTTAGAATGAGTGTATGTTAAGTTTTGACCACGAATAAGTGAAAGTAACTTTCCCTTTAACTAGTTAAATTAAAGAACAAATGCAGTGGCTGGAGAGATGCACAGCGGGTAGGGCGCTTGCCTTGCACTCAGCCGACCTAGGTTCGATTCCCAGCATCCCATATGGTCCCCCGAGCACCGCCAGGAGTAATTCCTGAGTGCATGGACCAGGAGTAACTCCTGTGCATCGCTGGGTGTGACCCAAAAAGCAAAAAATAAATAAATAAAAATTAAAAAAAAAAATAAAGAACAAATGCAAAATGTTACAGTATTTTTTTCCCTTTTTTGGGGTCACACCAGACGGTGCACGGGGGTTACTCCTGGCTCTACAATCAGGAATTACTTCTGGTGGTGCTCAGGGGACCATATGAGATCCTGGGAATCAAACCCGGGTGGGCTGCGTGCAAGGCAAACGCCCTACCCACTGTGCTATGCTCCAGCCCCAACATGTGACAGTATTAAATGGACAGATATGGGGGAAAAAAATAAAGAACAATTTAAAAGGGATTAGAGAGATAGTTTTACAGGCCAGAGGGCATATTTTGCACGCAAGAGTGCGAAGTTAGATCCCCAACACCATACCAGGAGTGACATCCAAACACAAAGCAGGCAATGGCGCCTTTGCACCACCAGGTGTGGCCCCAAACAAAGGATTAGAACACAGTTTTGTAGAAAACCCAAATCTTCAGTCTGCTCTTTCTCTTCACACAGGACAGCTCAGAATGACTTACGGAGTTCATTTCCTTCGCTGAGAATCTCCACCCGGCGTACAAGCTGCTCAAACAGATTCCGCAAATTCAGCATTGTAGGATCCATCTTTCTGCCAAGAAATCAAATATACATTAGGGGTCCTGCCTATTCCCCCAGACAAAAGATTCAGTGGCAGTTCAGCGTGACCGTAAGTGACTAACATCTGGGCTCCTGCACTTGGAGCTACCATTCTAAGAATCTCAAGTCAACAACTGATGTTTTGTGTAATCCTTATTATAAAAACAAAGTTAGAATGTTTAAGACCCCTTTGGAAATTACAAAAAGCAGTTCAGACCCCTGAACACAATCCCCACGTCTCGCCTACTTCACGTCATAACCACTGTGGAATTGACAACGCTACAAAACGCAGTTTCTTGGTCAAGTCTACTGATTAATCTAACACTTCACCATTTTCATCCTTTTGAACTTTGAAGATCTTTAACATAACTGAGGTTTATTTTTCATTTCATTTTTAGCTAGTACCCTGCTTACAACTGCCTTTTAAAATTCAGGACATGGTCAGCACATTTTCTACCAAGAGCACAGATGACGTCACACAAGTGATTAAGTGAGGAAACCGCCGGCTCAGCAGCACAAGAATTATTTCTGTAATGCAGGGCTCTCTGCTGGGCTGCGTGCAGACTATGTCTAATAAATTTATACTAAGTATAGGCAAAGGATTATGTTGTACCACATTCTGGCATCAAGGAGACAATACACCACCTTCACAGTTAGAAGGGCAAAGAAAGAATAATTTGCTACTGTGTTTGCTACTATATGGTGAATTTCAAACTTTCTGTTTTCTTCCACCACTAAAGACCTGCTAACATGATTTTTAAAATTGTGTCCTTACAGGCAATTCTGTCCCAAATAGACTTACCGGGAACACTATGAGGAAGTAAGATCTTCCTTTAACGGTCAAGAAAAACCACCATTGGAGATGATGAATATCATCAAGTAAAAAAAGCGAAATTCATTCAAAAGCTTGTCATCCCCCAGAAATACCACTTAAGGATTCTTAGATCTCTCCTAATGACCCTTTAAGCATTCTAGTCCAGGCTCTCTTATTTCATGCATCTAAATAAAATCTGAAAAACACCGATGATTTTATAGTGTTTCCAGGACTGTAGCATAAGCTATTAGGACAAGAAATGGGGAAGCAGAGGTAACACACAGAGGACAAAGAAGCACACAAACATAATATTGTCTACTAAATGCTACAGAATTATTCATTTGAACTCATGTGATGATTGCTCTAACAGCAAAAAAAGAAAAAGCTTTCAATTCCAAGCGTGGATGCAATATATATCTGAATCAGGGCCGGAAACCCAATTTTCAAATGGCAATGTATCTGTTCCAGGCTACATAATCACAGCAAGCTGCTAAGCAACCAGACCAACAAATCTATTACAAAAATCTTTCTCTGAAGTAAGGACAAAACTAAAAGAATACCTTTAAAACTGGCAGAAAGCAATCTAGAAGTCATGAATAAGTCCAAGGGTTTAACAATATGACCAAAAAAAAAAAGAATCCAAGTACTACAGGACAAAATGCAGAGTATTTAGTAGTATCACAAGATAATAATAATTTCCGTTGGCTCCCAGAAAAATAGAAGACACTGCTTGACTTTGGGTTTTATTTTCTTTTATTTCGGGATGGGGTACCCTTCATCTGATCGTGCTCAAGGTCACTCCTTCCTGTGTCCAAGGGACTATATGGTACTGGGGAATCAAACCCAGGTCTCCTGCAAGCAAGTGTTCAGCCCACTGAGCTATGTCTCCAACCCAACACTGATCAGTTTTAATACGGAGCATTGATTTCTATCATCTCAGCATTCATCTGCATATTCTGAAACTATAAGCAGTGAGAACTCAGTACATAGGAAAACTTCCATCTGTCCACAGATGCAGAAAAGGAAAATTTCACAGTGTAACTATGGCACTGAGAACTGGTTGTTTAAGACAAATTTCAGAAGGCTTTTATGTCCTGAAGTGGCAATATAACAACCCAATCTTTTGTCCCCTTTAAACGAAATCCTCACATTTTCTAAGCTCCATTATTCTTCCCTATTTTCTTCGTGCACACCAGTTCTAGACTGAGATTAGAAAGAAGCACTCCTTGAAAATACAACCTGATTCCTGAAAAAAAGAAAAACTAAGGACACAAAGAACATACACAGAGACCTGTCACTATAGTACCTGTCATCTCACAACAACTACCTCAGTCTACCTTGCTCTCCTAGCATCATTTCTAGATTGCTCTAGCAGGAAAAAAAAATAAATTAAGAAAGCTTTCAATCTCAAGCATGGATGCAATATATATCTGAATCAGGGCCGGAAACCCAATTTCAATAGTCTATCAAAACTGTTTTGGTAATAGTTGTCTGACGGACTCCCAGTGCTTTTACATATTTATTTTTAAGTAACCTTTGAGCCCAAGAGATAGTACAGGTGGTAAGGCTGACTCTAGTTTGATCCCCAGTATCACATATAGTCCCCAAAGCCCCACCAGGAGTGATCCCTGAGCACAGAGGCAAAAAACAAATCTGAGCACCACCAGGTACAAGCCATCAAACAAAAAAAATTGATAACCTTCAACTGTCATGACATCACAATCTCTAGAGTCAGAGTTTTACATGTGTATGTGAATTTCATGTTCTTCTCTCAACATTCATCCCCAAAAGTTCAACCTTCTAACCTCTCACAGAACTTCTTGAAGGATTCCGCTTTGGTCACTGCCTCTCTATAGAAAACTAGCCCATGTATTTTTCCAGCCCTGCCCACGCTTCTTAACTTCCATCCTGCGGTTCTCAGTTTGCCTGGGAAGCCAGAGATGTAGGGTTAGAGATACTGTTCTCTCCTTCCCCACATGGGCTGGAGCAATAGCACAGCGGGTAGGGCGTTTGCCTTACAAGCGGCCAACATGGCCGACCCGAGTTCGATTCCTCCGCCCCTCTCGGAGAGCCCGGCAAGCTACCGAGAGTATTCGATATGCCAGACACAGTAACAACAAAGTCTCCAATGGAGACGTTACTGGGCCCGCTCGAGCAAATCGACGATCAACGGGAGGGCCTTTACCTTTACCTTCCCCACATACACCATCAACTACCCACTGACTCCCTTATCCCCTACGCTATTAACTCCCAACTTTTATTCCCTATGTTTAGCATTTTCAGCCACTTAGTTCCAAACTTCAGAATCAGGGATGGAGAGACAGCAGAGGGGTTAAGTTAGACACCTGCCTTGCACACAGCCCATCCCAGTTCGATCCACTGCACAGCATATGATCTCTAAGCCCTGCCAGGGGATTACTGAGCACAGAGCCAGGAGTGAATCCTGGGCACTCAAAACCAAACACATAAACAACAGCAACAACAAACCCTCAGAATCACCTTTAGTTTTTCCTACAAGTATCATCCTAAAACCTTCTGAAGTCTTCCTCTAAGTGTGATTTTTTTTTTAATGTTTGTAGGTTGGTATTTTTGTTTTGGGGCCATGTGAGAATGTTCAGGGGTTACTCCTGGCTCTGCACTCAGGAATTAACCCTGGCGGTGATCAGGGGACCATATGGGATGACAGGGATTGAACACAAGTCAGCCACACGCAAGGCAAATAGCCTACCTGCTGTACTACTGCTCCAGGCCCCTTTAGGTGTATTTGATACCTGTTCCCATAACACTTGCAAGTCATCTTCACTCACTCAGCTGACTTTCCCCCAATTAGATTTTTACCACATTCTACTTTAGATCCCAGGTAAATTTGTAAGTTCCAATAAAGGAGTCAAGGGGCCCGAAATAATAGTACAATGGGTAGGGCGTTTTGTCTTGCACATGGCTGACCTGCGTTCCATCCCCAGAATCGCATACAGTCCTCTGAGCACTGCCAGGAGTAATTCCTGAGTGCAGAGCCAGGAGTAGCCCCTGAGCACTGCCAACTGTGGCCCAAAAACAATAAGTACATAAATAAAGAGAGAAATCAAGTCTTAAGTTTAGTATTTACTACTGTATGACCACTCAGTCTTTTAAAATAAATTTTACATACATGGAACTCAGAGAACAAGTACATATACTGGCCTTGATTCTGTCAAAAGAATTTTCATTCTACCCAAACATAAATTAGTAAAAACAAATGAAAAAAAAATTTTTTTTTTGCTTTTTGGGTCACACCCGGCAATGCACAGGGGTTCCTCCTGGCTCTGCGCTCAGGAATTAACCCTGACAGTGCTCAGGGGGCCATATGGGATGCTGGGAATCGAACCCAGGTTGGCCGCGTGCAAGGCAAACACCCTACCCGCTGTGCTATTGCTCCAGCCCCAAAACAAATGAAAATTAAAAAAAAAAATTTTTGTTTTGTTTGGGGGCCACATCCAGCAGTGCTAGGGACCTCCATATCCTATTCCGGAGTCCTCAGAGGAACATGTGGTGTTCGGGACTGAATCTGAGCCACTGGCATGAACGGCAATGGGCTCCAGCCTGCTGAGCTATCTCCCCGACCAGAGAAAACTTTTACAAGATGGCAGGGCAGAAGCGGAGACGGACTTTGATTTCACAGATCTGTAGTCCAGCAACCTTCTATAAGTCACTGAAATTTTCAGACTCTGGCCTGAAACAGTACAGGAGTTAAGGTATCTGCCTGGCCTGTGTACGACCCCAGGTTTAACCCCTACCACCACAGGGTCCTCTAAGAACCTCCAGGAGTGACCCCCACCCCAAATTTGAGAGCCAGTGGTCTGCCTTATTTACTTCCTAGAATACTGACATGTGAACGATGTATAGCTGAAGGGTGGGAGAGGGTTGAGTGCCATAAGGAGTTTGCCCTGCAAACGGAAGTTCAATCCCCAGCACCAACATGGTCCCTAAGCCCTGCCAGGAGTGATCCCCGAGTGCAGAGCCAGGAGTAAGCCCCGAGAACAACCGGATGTGGCCAAAAAATAGCCATAATTTAAAAATGCAGGGTAGGGGCCAGACCAGAGATAGTACCAGGGTTAAGCCTTGCATGCTGCCAACCCTGGTTCAGTCCCCAGCACTGCATGTGATTCCCCCCAGCCTCACCAGCCAAAGCCAAAACAC